GTAGACCATACTTGAGATGAAGGCATATCGGGGAGTCCAAGCATCACTCTGGGAATCTGATGCAGGACAGAAGGTTTACTTTTGGCTTGGCATACTTATGCCGCTTGCCTCCTCCTATGTAAAATGTAAAAAATTGCCAAAAAAAAAAATCTCCCATCATCTGACTTCCAAGTGGAGTCTAAACCCAGGTAGCATTCCCTCTGTACCAAGAACATCTCAGCACTTAGGGAAATGAGAAGCATGTAATAATTTAGAGAGAAAGTATTCTTGGTGGATGCAGGGAGATGAAAGAAGCAAACCCTTTCTTCCTATTATCAGTTATGGTTTCCAAAGTCCCTTGATGTAAGCCATGGTGATGAAACTTGTTTAAAAGAAAAACAATCCATTTCTACTGTGTGAGGAAGCAACTTTAGGACTGGTGTTAACAGCAGATTGTCAAGTGCTTCAAGATTCCTGGTTAAACAGCAGCTCTCAGCCACAATGTCTTTCACTGAGAAGTTGGTATCAGAGATGTTACAGTTGCTCTGGCAGCTCCTCTGTCTTAGTAATAAAGTCTTGTTTTCAGGGTGACTGGAAGCTGAAACTGTTATTGGAACTTTGAAAGTCTCTGCCATCAGCATACACCCCAACATTTAACAGATCAAAACCAGGACATGTATGGTCATACAACATCAGAGTGCGGTCAAGATGGCAAGAGTTATGCATGAGGAAGAACAGACAAGCTGTTCCCTTCTCGCCTTTCTCTCCTGATCAGTTAATTGAGTGCAAACTACATTTGCATTCTGAACTCATTTTGCAGCAATTGAAGTAAACTGAAGACAAAAGAGAAAAGTGGGAGGAGGAAAAAGAAAATGGGACATTTTAAAAGGGGTAAAACAGCATGTGATTTATAACTGTAGCAAAGCCTTTGACTGCATAGATCATGAAAGGCTATGGAATGCCCTTAAAGACATGGGAGTGCCCACACATCTGATAGACCTGATGAGGAATCTGTACTCAGGACAAGAGGCTACTGTCAGAACAGAACATGCAGAAACAGAATGGTTCCCAGTTGGCAAAGGGGTCAGACAAGGTTGTATCCTTTCACACTATATGCAGAACATATAATAAGAAAAGCAGGCTTGGACACAGAAGAAGGAGGAATGAAAACAGGAGGAAGGAATATCAACAATCTAAGATATGCAGATGACACCATAGTACTAGCAGAAAACCTCACAGACCTGGTACACCTATTAAGAAAGGTCAGAGAAAGTGCAAAGGCCAGCTTAATGTTGAACATAAAGAAAACAAAAATATTAACCATTAAGGACCTTCACAAGTTCAACCTAGACAATCAAGAAATGAAAATAGTAAAAGAATCCTATACCTGGGATCAAACATTGATAGAAATGGGGACTGCAGTCAGGAAATCAGAAGATTAAGAATGAGGAGGGCAGCAATGAAGGAACTAGAAAAGGTTCTAAAATGCAAAGATATAACAACTCAGCACAAAAGTTAGAATCATACAACCCATGTATGGATGTGAGAGCTGGACAGTCAAGAAAATGGATAGGAAGAAAATCAATTCATTTGAGATGTGGTGCTGGAGAAGAGTGTTGAGGATCCCATGGTGGACAACCAAGAACAAACAAGTGGGTCTTAGAGCAGATCAAACCAGAAACCTCCCCGGAAGCCAAGATGACTAAACTGAGACTGTCATACTTCAGACACATCATGAGAAGAGAGGACTCTTTTAAAAAAACAATAATGCTGGGAAAGGTGGAGGGAAGTAGGAAGAGAGGAAGGCCACGTGCCAGATGGATAGACTCTATTAAGGAGGTCACAGGTATGAAGGGGTTGCAGGAATTCAGCAGAGCAGTGGAGGACAGAGGGTCTTGGAGATGTCTCATCCATAGGGCCGCCATGGGTCAAGATGAACTCAAGGGCAGTTAACAACAACAAAAATGACATAGGATTAATTGGGACTGTTCCTGCCAAATCTGCACTGTTGGAGTGTATGCTGCAGTATGCATTTTCAAAGCAGTTGAAAGCAGCCCTCATGGATGTGGGGGAAATTTTTGAGACGCGATAGAAGGTTTTCTGAAAGATGTGGGAGTCAGGTTTGGTTTTTTTAAAAGAATCCTATATCCCACTCCATAAAAAAGTCAGAATGGTAGTGGAGGAAGGATACATTTTGAGGGTTACAGATTGTGAGCAGCTGGCAATGCAGTTGAGTGGAAGATTCAACCACTGAAAAAGACTTACCACAATTCCCAGCCATGTTAATAAAATATGCAGATTTAGTTACAGGTCTCCAGCTCATAAATTTCCAGTATGGCCCTTGGGTACCAAACTTTTCCCCCATTCCTGTTCATAATTTAAGACAACAAACTACAAGAATGGCAGTGTCTAAACATTTCCAACTTATAAATCTTGATTTTGATACCCTTACTTTGGAACTAATTCCCAGTATAGCTCAATAACTTCCTTTGGTAATCCCAACAGAAAATAATGGAACATCAGTGATTTCTCTGTAAAAGAGGAATGAAAAACCTTTGGCATACCAGATGTTTTGGAGTTGCTATTGTTGTGCGCATTCAAGTCATTTGCAACTTACGGTGACCTCAAGGTGAACCTATCACAGGCTTATCACACCGCCTTGAGTCCCTATATTGGGAGAAAGGTGGGATATAAGAAAATAAATTATGATGTTGATTATTATTATTATTAGTAGTAGTAGTAGTATTGTCATGGCAAGATTTTTTCAGACCGAGTTTGACATTGACTTTCTCTGAACCTGAGAGAGAATTGCCCAAGGTCACTCAGTGGGTTTCCATGGCTGAGCGGAGATTTTAATCCACAGTCCTAGTCCAACACTCAAACCACTAAACCAGGGGTAGGCAACCTAAGGCCCAGAGGCCGGATGCGGCCCACCGAAGCCTTTGGACCGGCCCCAGGCCGGTCC